CTTTGAGTAGAACATCTTATTTGATCTTGAATTGGAAACTTGGAATCTCATTCATATCATGTATGTCATGGTCATGTTGTGATTCCAAAGAATTGGTTTGGTTTTGCATACATCACATGCTCTTGAATCTTGATTTTATGAAATAGATTTTTGATTTCACCATGTTTTCCAAGTTTACAAGAGTTTTCTCAAGTTTTTGGCCCAAAAAGATGAGTTTTGTAGTGTTTCAGTTGAGTTTGGAAGCTTGGAGGTGAATTTGAAAATTCCAGAATTCAACCTCCCCGCTCGAGCGACGGATTCTTCACTCGAGCGACCACATTCATTTTCATACTTCCACTCGAGCGACCTGAGGTTCATGTAACAACCCTCACCACTGTTTACTGATAACACTACTGATTAGTGCTAATCTATGATTAAGCATGTTAATTGACTGACTGACTAAATTACTAAACTGATTGATTGATTGTGCTAGTTTGAATGCAATTCTATCTGTTGACTGTTAAATTATCTGTTCATGTTTTATGCTTTAAACTGCAAATTGAAGGCCTTATCGGCGGTTAAATCTGAAATTGATTGATGTTTTGTGCTAATTAAGATTTATATGATTTTATGGTATATTTAATTGAAATGTGATTGGGTATGATTAAATTAGATTTAATAATGATAAATTGCAAGAGTTAGCCTTAATCACCAAATTGCCATCTAGTGGATTTATCTAGGCAACCCCTCTCCACTTCATACATGTTGATACAACATTTCTTCAGCTCATTTCCTAGAGCAAAACCGACTAGAGAGAGAGGGAATTGGGAGAATATAGACTTCATCAAAGATTGCTTGGAGAATTTGAAGGAGAATTGCATATTGAGCTTCTACATCTTGAACTTAAGACATAAGGTAGAGAATTTCCCTTCTTAATCATGAAATTTAGTAGATTCTTGCATGGTACATGGTAATTGAGTGAGTTGAGTCAAGAATTGGATTAAATTGTTGAATTGGAGCTTGATTCATGCATGCATGTGCATATCTTGAAATTTAGAGTTGTTTTCATGGAAATTATTGCATGCATGTTCATATTTTTGGCCTTGATCCATGGATTCACCATGTTTTTGCAAGAATTGGATTTTTGGAGCATGTTTTAGAAGCTTTGAATTCATTAGAACTCATGCATGTATGAGTTTTGCATCAATCTTCATGTTATTGGATTTTGGGTTGGAATTGTGTTTTAATTGAACTACCTTTGGGTCTTGATTTTACAAATTGAGCTTTGAATCATGTTATACTATGAATTTACAAGTGTTTTCCAGAAAATTGGCCTAAAAGGATCGAATTTGATGCATTGGTGTTGAGTTTTGAGCTTGAGGTTCAAATCTAGAAATTCCAGATTCTGGACTCACGCTCGAACGAGGAGTTCTACGCTCGAGCGTAAGCCTTGTGTTCATGCAGTCCGCTCGAGCGAGGAAAGTGGCGCTCGAGCGTGAAATGTGTGTATCCATTACTTTGCATGAGTTTACAGTCCGCTCGAGCGAGAGAGTTTACGCTCGAGCGAGGACTTGTGTCTCACGCTCGAGCGTGTATCGAGCGCTCGTCGAGCGTGATTTTTGTGCATCCAGTACTTTTACTGTAGCTTGCAGTTCGCTCGAGCGACTGAAGGTACGCTCGAGCGAATCTCATTTGTCTGCATGTCTGCTCGAGCGTAGAAAGCCACGCTCGAGCGAGACCCCTGTTTTCTGAAAATTTTGAAAATGTTTTTAAAGTGCATCTTTGCATCCTCATTTCATTCTAGGCATTCTAAGGCCTAGTTTAAGGCATCTTAATGAGGATATTGATGTAGAACCACACCGAGGCAAATTAGGGATTAAGTTATTATTTCCCAACTGTGTATCTTAGTGTGTGTTCATTTTGTAATTGTGTAGGGTTGGCATCCGAGGACGTGTACTAGCTTATCTGTAGCCCAGAACTCTGTGAGTAACAATGTTGTAAAGATATGTTCAATAATGATTATCTTCTGAACAATTGAACTGTACTGTTTACTGAATTGATACTGTTACTGAATGAATGATGTCCTATTTGTGAACTGTATTCGTGGCATCCATAGCAACCTACTGTTACTGTACTGTACTGCTACTGTCATAGAGATCTCTGTCGGTTCCTATGTTGGAACCATTACTATTTACTGATATGATGGCCATCAACTGACTGTTTGGTCTGATAAGACCTATTGTACTGTTTTGCTATTGGGTGTACCACATATGACTATTATAGTTTCTGAATAACTGTTATGGCATGAAATATGAGCCGCAAACTGAATGACTGATATACTGATAACTGACTGTTTTCAATACTGAAAGGACATTCATTTTTAACCTCTTTACGCATATGTTATTCACTGGGCTTTAGCTCAGTGCTCAGATATATAAGTAGGTGTACAGGCACCAGACCGTTGCTAGGAGCGTCGGGCTAGGCTCCCGTTTTGTCAAAGCCAACCACTGTGTCTCATTGCGAGGTTCCAAGTCCTTCAAGCTAGGGCTTTTGTGATGTTTTAGTTTCTCTCTTTTTGTATCTGTTTTGTAATTACTGTATAGACTGAATAATATCGAACTGTACCGTTATGGTAGGGATCCGGTCCCTAACCTGAATATCTGTATATAATGTATGTATGTACTGTTTTGTTCTGAATGTGTATATGATATGAAATGTCTTTTTGCATACAGATTGTCACAGCTCATTGGACATCTTTCATTTACTGTTTTGGCTTCCGCCAGCCCCTGTACTCTGTATTACTGTCTTACTGTTAAGCAGGCCTTCGGTAATCTTGGATTACTGGCCGGTTACGGTGCTAAACCCATAGGGTCGGGTTTGGGTCGTGGCAGTTCGCTTGAGCGTGAAATGCATATTCCTAGAAGTTTGTGTGTTTTGCAGACCGCTCGAGCGATAAAAGTTGCGCTCGAGCAAGGGAATGAGTCTCACGCTCGAGTGAGCATCGAGCAAGCATCGAGCGGAAAAATCAAGCAACCAGCACTTTTGCAAAGTTTACAGACCGCTCGAGTAAAGGAATGTGCGCTCGAGCAACCACTCGCCTTTTTGCATGTCTGCTTGAGCGAAGGAAGCTACGCTCCAGCGAGACCCCTATTTTCAGCAAATATTGTTAAGTATTTTCAAGGGCATTTTAGCGTCTTCATTGTATCTTAGGCATTCCTAGGTCAAGATTAAAACACCAAAATGAGGATAAGAAGTAGAAACACACTAAGATAAGAAAAGATTTAAGTTAATATTTCCGGGTGTGTAATTCAGTACATGTTCATTCTGTAACTGTGTAGGTCACACGCCGCAAGATGTCTAATTTACTCATTCTGTCTGTTTGCCTTGGAACCCTCTGTTAATTGTGAGTAATAACTTTGTAAAGTTATGTTCAATTATAAGTATTTTCTGAATGATATAAGATGGTCTGTTTTCTAAAATATTATTTTTTGCATGAATAAATGGTTGTCCAATGTTTCTGAAATATATTCGTGGCATTCTTAGCTTCAAATGACATCTGTTATTTGTTCTGTTATGTCCCAATTATGGGTCAACTGAACGTCTCATGAGCCAATTGTTGTGGATCCTTATGTATACGTCCCATTTATGAGCCAACTGTACGTCTCATCAGCCAACTGTACCGTCTTCGTGCACGTGATTCAGTTGTACGCCTTTATGGTCGTTCTTTTATAGGTCAACTGTATGCCTTTACGGCTGTTCCTTTATGAGTCAATTGTTTCTGTGAGTGCTAATGAATTTTCCCCGTATGTTTACTTGCAAATTCTGATTATGAATATGATTCTTAATCTGTATCTGTTATGACCTATGATTTCTGAACATGATTATGAATCCATTTCTGTTGACTATTGAATTCTGTTTTCTGTAACCGTTATGGACAACATTCATTAAAACCTTTTACTTTGTTATTATTCACTGGGCTCTAGCTCACTATTTATATTATGTATGTAGGTGACCAGGCACATGACCAGGCCCAGAATTAATGGCCTAAGATTCCGCTTTGTCAACCACCCTTTACGCCTCCTGAGGAGGTTCCGAATCAAGTCAAGCCTTGTGGCCTTGTTTCACGCGCATCTAAAACTTTTTTTTCTTTTGGTTTTTGGAACAAGATTTTGGTTATTTGTACATGGGGTGACGTAAAATTACTATATCTATGTGACGTTACGTATATGTTATGAGTTTAAAAATTATTCTACCGCATGTATGTCTGCATAGCTCAATGGACGTTGTACTTTATATATTACTTCCGTAGCCCCTAATTATATGTTATTCTGTTAAGAGGCCTTTGGTAATCCAAGAATTACTAACCGGTTATGACACTAAACCTATAGAGGCGGGTTTGGGTCGTGACAAAGTGGTATTAGAGCATGAGTTATACCGCACACACAAGTCCATGAGAGCTGTAGGAGGTCCGAGAAATGAATTAGGGACATTTCATTTGCATGTGTGAATATGTGCTAACCTTTATAACTGTAGAAATTGAATTTAAACCTAAACAAATGAAATTGAAAAAAATGGACAAGATTATTCCTATATTTATTCTTACATTATCTCCTTATAGTATCATGGAAAATGCAAGAAGTAATGATACAACTGAATCCTCAGAGGCTCCTATAAGCCGTATGGAACAAATGCTTGCAGCTCTGACTGAAACACTGACACAACAATAGAGGCAGCAACCCTTGCCTCTCTCACCTTCACCAGCACAACATGAGCCAAATAATAGTGATATAATCAACTTGACTCAGAAGTTTATGAAGATGAAACCTCCAACTTTCCTAGGAGGTATTAAACTGTTAAAGGCTGAAGCATGGTTTTTGGAAATGGAGAAATTGTTTGAAGTATTTCCCTGTTCTGAGATTTAGAAAGTTCTTTTAACCACCTACACCCTAAAAGACGAAGCCCGGAGATGGTGGTTATTGGTCCGAAATAGTAACGGGAATATGACATGGGCTTAATTTAATATGCTCTTCTATGACAAGTACTTTCCGCAGTGCTTCCAGGACCGAAAAGTTTCAAAATTTCAGGAACTCAAGCAAGGCAACATGTCTGTGGCTAAGTACGAGGCCAAATTCACTGAACTAGCTCAATTTGCGTCTCATGTAGTAGACAAGGACTACAAGAAGGCTCGAAAATTTGAGGGTGGATTGGATTTAGATATATTAGATCGGGTAGGAGTCCTCAACCTACCTACGTATGTGAATGTGCTTGATAGGGTATTGATGGCGGAAGCTATTTTGGTAGCAAAGAAACAAGCTTTTTCCCAACAACTGATTGGAAAGGGAAAAGATCAAGAAACAGTTTAAAAAAGGGCCGTTCATTTGCCTTGAATAAGAAACAAAATACGGGATCTTCTAGCAACTCAAGCCAAAGCAGTGGATCTATGCTTGTTTGTACTTAGTGTAGGAGGAGACATAGAGGAGTTTGCCATCAGGCATCTGGTGCTTGTTTCCAGTGTGGCAAGACAGGCCACATGATAAGAGATTGTCCAATCGGATCAGAAAATGCCAACCGTCCTATAGCAAGTTCAGCAGGATCTGCTTCTAGATCAAGAACAAATGCTAGAACTAATACGGGAAAAGAACCGTTGAGACGGGGTAGAGTTTTTTCACTTGTGCCTGGCGATGTACAGAATACCGAATTCGTGGTGTCAGGTATAATTTCTATCTATGCTCAAAATGCCCATATGTTGATAGATTCTAGTTCCACACATTCATTTGTATCGCATATTTTTTCACAGAAGTTAACTAGACCATTAGAACTTATGAATCGTGTATTATATGTGTCTACACCGTCTGGGGTTCTATGATATGTGCTTATGTCTATCTGGCTTGTGATATTATGATTGGTAATATGACATTATATGCTGATTTGTTGCCCCTGAACATTGATCATTTTGATTGTATTTTGGGTATGGATTGGTTGACCAAATACTGTGCCACCATTGATTGTGCAAACAAATCTGTTGTGTTTAGACCACCTGGTATACTTGAGTTTGTTTGTATTGGAATTGGGGTAGTTTCTCCACCGTACTTGATTTCATTTATAAAAGCTAGAAAATTGTCAAGAAAAGGGTATCAAGGCTATTTGTGTTATGTGATGACTGAGCCTTCAGTTAATGCTAGGGTGGAAACAATTCCTGTAGTCTGTGAATTTCCTGATGTATTTCCTAATGACTTACCTAGGGAGTTAATTAATAGAGAAATCGAGTTTACTATTGAAGTTATACCTGGAACACAACTGATTTCTAAAACCCCATACATAATGTCTACTACTGAACTGAAAGAATTGAAAGTCCAACTCCAAGAACTTTTGGACAAGAAATTCATCTGTCTGAGCACGTCACCTTGGGGTGCTCCAGTTCTGTTTGTGAAAAAAAAGGATGGTCTTTGAGGTAATGTATAGATTACCGTGAGTTAAACAAAGTAACTATAAAAAACAAATGCCCTTTACCACGAATAAATGACCTGTTTGACCAACTCCAAGGAGCCCAAGTGTTCTCTAAGATAGATCTTAGATCCAGGTATCACCAGTTAAGGGTCAAAGCAGAAGATGTAGAGAAAACAACCTTCAAAACTCGATATGGGCACTATGAATTTTTAGTCATGCCATTTGGGGTAACAAATGCACCCGCAACCTTTATGGACCTGATAAATAGAGTTTTTAAACAATTCTTGGATGAGTTTATAGTTGTGTTTATTGATGACATTCTGATTTACTCCAAAAGCAGGGAAGAGCATGAGAGTCATTTGAGAATTGCTTTACAGATTTTGAGGGAGAAGAAACTATATGCCAAATTGTCCAAATGTGAATTCTGGCTTGACAGTGTAGCATTTTTGGGACATGTGATCAACAAGGATGGTGTATCAGTAGACCTACAAAAAATTGAAGCCATTGTTGACTGGCCAAGACCAACCAACGTGTCAAAAGTTAGAAGTTTTATGGAGCTTGCTGGTTATTACAGAAGATTTGTGAAAGATTTCTCAAAGCTTTCCATGCCTTTGACACAATTGACACAGAAAAATGTACCATTTGATTGGAATAATCAACGTGAATCAGCTTTTCAAGAGTTGAAAACCAGATTAGTGACTACACTAATTTTGACTTTACCTAATGGTACTGATGGGTTTCAGATTTACAGTGATGCTTCCTTTGCGCGAGCGACCACTTGCATTTTGTATGTCCGCTCGAGCGAAGGAAGCTACGCTCGAGCGAGACCCTTGTTTTCAGCAAATATTGTTAAGTATTTTCAAGTGCATTTTAACATCCTCATTGCATCCTAGGTATTCCTAGGTCAAGATTAAGACACCAAAATGAAGATAAAAAGTAGAAACACACCAAGGTAAGAAAAGATTTAAGTTAATGTTTTCGGGTGTGTAATTCAGTACATGTTCATTCTGTAACTGTGTAGGTCACGCGCCGCAAGACGTTTGATTTACCCATTCTGTCTGTTTTCCTTGGAGCCCTCTGTTAATTGTGAGTAATAACTTTGTAAAGTTATGTTTAATTATAAGTATTTTTTGAATGATATAAGATGATCTGTTTTTTAAAACATTATTTTCTGCATAAATGAATAGTTGTCCAATGTTTCTGAAATGTATTCGTGGCATTCTTAGCTTCAGATGACATCTGTTATCTGTTTTGTTACGTCCCAATTATGGGTCAACTGCACGTCTCATGAGCCAACTGTTATGAATCCTTATATATATGTTCCATTTATGGGCCAACTGTACGTCTCATGAGCCAACTGTATCATCTCCGTGCACGTGAGTCAACTGTACCCTTTTATGGCCATTCCTTTATGGGTCAATTGTTTCTGTGAGTGCTAATGAATGTACCACGTATGTTTAACTGCAAATTCTGATTATGAATATGATTCTGAATCTGTATCTGTTATGACCTATGATTTCTGAACAAGATTATGAATCCATTTCTATTAACTACTGAATTCTGTTTTTTGTAACTGTTATGGACAACATTCATTAAAACCATTTACTTTGTTATTATTCACTGGGCTTTAGCTCAGTATTTATATTATGTATGTAGGTGACCAGGCACGTGACCAGGCCCAGAGTTGATGGCCTAAGATTCCGTTTTGTCAGCAACCATTTGCACCTCCCGAGGAGGTTCCGGATCAAGTCAAGCCTTGTGGCCTTGTTTCACGAGCATTTAAAACTTTGTTTCCTTTTGGTTTTTGGAACAAGATTTTGGTTATTTGTGCATGGGGTGACGTAAAATTATTGTATCTATGTGACGTTACGTATATGTTATGAGTTTAAAAATTATTTTGTCCCATGTATGTCAGCACAGTTCAATGGACGTTGTATTTTATATATTGCTTCCGCAGCCCCTAATTATATGTTATTATGTTAAGAGGCCTTTGGTAATCTAAGAAATACTGGCCGATTATAACACTAAACCTATAGGGGCGGATTTGGATCGTGACAAGTCACCTACTAGTACTCCTTATAAACTAAAGAAAAAATTACAACTAACCAAAAAAAAAATCCCTAACAAAATAAATTTTAAATTTATTTAATTTAAATAGGAGGATTTAGTATCTCCTTTTATATACTTTGTATTCCAATTAGTTCAGAAGTTATTCTTATGTTCCAATAAATCTATTATTTTGGAATTTAATCCATCAAATTCTAATTCTCATATTTGAGGTATTTTATAAACAATTTTACCTTTATAGATGTTTTTTAACTCTTAGCAAACTGATATGTGCTTTGACCCTGAACAATTGTCCAAGTGGTTATAAAGAAGGTATTTAGGTGCCAAGGTGAGTGAGGTTTCAAGTTTGAGCCCATGAATAGACGTTGCCTTGTGTTATAATTTAATTACTAACATACCAACCACTTGTGAAAAAAGCAAAAAACAAACAAAACAACTAAACTGATATGTGCTTATGGTGTTTACTAATTTAGACTATTTTTGACTTTTTGTATATTATACTTTAAAAATTCATAATTTTGTTGCACATATATATTATGAAATTTATATTTTTTAAATCTGTTTAACAAGATTTCACTTGAATATGTAATTATGTAAGATAAAAGAAAATTTGAATTTGATAATGTAAATATTCACACTGAAATTATGTCACGCCCCGAAATAATTACTATAATCCATACTCAACATCAATAAGTGACCACAATGACAAAGTGATTATCTTTCATTGATTTACAATTAAACTTTACAAAAGAGTGACTTAATAAAGAGGCAGGATGATAGTTAAACAAATAAGAAAAATGCTTATATCATTCCAAGACGATGCTTGGTTACGACAAAAGTGGACTTAAGTCCAATACAGTTAAAGCCCTTAGCTTATACAAAATAAATACGACAAATACACAAAAGAAGCTCTCGCTCCAAGTCCTCTCAAGCTATTACCTTGGTAGAGGCATATCATCAGCACCTGAAAAGTTTTTCTCTACATAGGATGAGCCAAAGCCCAGTAGAAATAATCCAACATAGTATATGAATCTTAACAAAGGTATAAGCTGAATGCATTTGCAATGCTCGTGCCAAAACATTTTACGTCTCTTTCCAAAACCATGCAATGCAATGTTAATATCATAATTCATTTCCTTTACAATAGAAAAAAGGGCAGTGAATCACACTTTGGGAATCTCAAACAAGTACAACTTTTCATGGAAATTTTGTCCGCGGGAAATCGTGAACCAGCACCTATGTAAACGTATGCCACACAAGCAATACTATTGTCATTTTACGGATATTTCGTCCACGGGATCAGCACCCATGTATACGTGCGGTTTTAGGACTTTCACAATGGGCACTTAGGCCAACTTATTTCAACGATACAATACATGTTTTCCAGATTCACTTATTTTTTCTCAAAACGATAAACATTTCCAATGTACAAGTATAAGTTAATGCCCAATGCAAATTAATGAGAAAATGGTTTCGATTCTCCTAATTCACATGTAATTTCTACAATAATCATAGCTATCTTCCATCGATAGCCCAAAACAGATATTTCTAAACAGATAAACAATTATCAATAAAGATAAATTCTCCAAATTTTCCAAAGGTGAGTGATAATACATATCAAACTCCATTATCCTTATCAACATAATTCCAATTTCATAATTTCAATATCAATCTCATAAGCTACATCAAATCAACATTTGAGACATTTAGGGCAAAATCCATTTTCTTTCCAAAATCAATTCCAAATATCAAAATCAACTATATATCCCCAACTCAACATTATTTTTCACATCAAAATCATTTTCAAGGATCTATTTGAAAACCCCACTTTTGATTTTTACCCAAAACCCTAGATTTGTTTCAAATCTTCTAAAATCTCAATATTGTTTAGAAATAACAAATAACTAAGTTAAAACTCATAAAAAGTGTAGAGATATCCCTACCTCACGCACAGGAGATGAGAGAGAGAATGTAGATACTTCAAAGATGCCGAAACCCAACTTTATTCAGATCAAAATAAGGCCCATAGCGTACTCTACCTTTATAACAAAGGGACACGGGTGAGGAACTCGACGGATCTAGGTGTATTTAAGTGAAATCAAAGAGTTTATAGAGAGAGAGAGTGAGAGAAAATAGGGTTTTGAAAAGTTTAGAGAGAGAAAGAGGTAAAAAAGTGACTCAGAAAAGTGACTTTATGAATTGATATATGCGCAGATCGCTCGAGTGCAAGAAGTGTCGCTCGAGCGACCAGACACAATAAGTTGCACCATTTGAGCGAAAAATACAAACTCCTAAAAGTTTTACAAACAGAAGACCAACGTTCGAGCTCAATAAGGACTGCTCGAGCCGACACCGCTTGAGCGCAAGAAGCATCGCTCGAGCAAAGAATATCAATTCCCAGTAGTTTTGCAGACCTGTAAAAGTACTAAGAGTTCACAAAGATCGCTCAAGCGCAAGAAGTGATGCTCGAATGAAGGAACAAAATTATGGGCAACAAAAGTTTGAAAAACAAGCTACCAACCTATTCCAAAGCAATCAACACATCCCAAAAGCCAAACTCAAAGAGAGAGATAAAGAGGAAACAAGATGCTAATCATATTATTTAATTTTGATGATGTCTAAAATATTATTTGCTGAAATTTGGATTTTTTAATAGACATATTGTTTGACACAAAATAATATATGTTTAAAATTTGTATGGTACATTTGTTAAATATTATTTAAATGAAAATATTTTGAAAACTTTACTATTCACTTTTTGAAAAAAAAAGAAAGAATAGGCTGATCACTATTCATCTTTTGACAAATTGATTGGTTGTATTATTTTGACAAATTTGGTATTGATGGGTTTGTCTTCTTTTGACAAAATTGATATGGAGTGGAAGGTTATATTTAATTTAAAATTTCTACAACATATACAGAAAAATGGTATATAT